AGAAACTGCTCAGCGAGTACCAGGTGTGGCGTTTCTTTGACGTCCTGTAAAAATTAATACCTTACCTTCCGAAGGCTGAACTCCACTGGATGCCACCTTAAGAAGAGCGATGCCTAGGAGTATAAGACCAGCAGATGTTTCCATCTTTTTATGTACGTACTGAACAGGCATCAAAAATAAGAGTCGATGTTAATTTACGTTTGATGGAAGTCACTTTCGGCGGATGTGTTCGTGGTTAACCAAACTGGCGATAAATCTTGGTGACACGGATGTTAATTTCCTTCCTTTTAACAAAGATTTGTTCTCGCGAGAGAGCATGTTATATGTTTTAAACAAAATTAGGAATATTTTAGAGTTTTCAGATGCGCTTTCTGCTGTTTTTAGGTGTTTGTCACTCTCTAGAGTGAGCGAAGAACGATTTATGGGCCCATCAGTGTCTGTCTGTCTGTCTGTCTGCCTGCCTGCCGCACTGTTCATATCAGTTGTGCCGGACGTCTCGACGATTACCTGAGATTGCAGTGAAGAAACAGCTCTTGAAAATTAGTTTACTCCAAAGAATACACCTATCCAATATTGTCATATATCTATGTATGGCCTGTACAAGCTTTATTTTTCTTGTCTTTTTAATACACATATAATTCCTTGAATTCTATTAGCATTCGTCCCTCCAAGTGCAACTGACCATTTCTTAGTAATATGCATTCTAGTTCTTGATTTTACTTTCTTCACCCAGCTGCACAGTTTTTATTTTTCACCATCCAGGGTGACACAAAAAATAAAACGTAAGTCTGACTGCACAAATTGTATTGGCTTGTCACACGCGACCTGCGAACTGCGGGTTGAAAACCTTTGACTTTTCTTCTCTGTTATCTGCTTTTAGCACGATGGCTCAGTGATAGCGACGGAGCAAATCTTGCGTCAGTGATTATTCCAGAACTTATGGCGTACTTATGTTGAGTTTTATTACATTATATACAAGCCTAATACATGGTATATATGATAAATTACTGATACAAAATGCTTATGTGGCGTGGTATGATAACAGTTGTGGTGTGTGTGTGTATGTGACGATCTGATCGTTCGTCAAAGGAGTCCTACCAAATTACCAACAAAAATATTAAGGAACATCGCATGTGTCCTTCAAGGACCACAGAGTCATTGATTATATATATATATAATGTGATATAATGTTACATATATTACAGGTTTACGTAATATTGTAATATATAAAAAGAGACATTACATCATAATGCAATGCATATATTATGGTATAGGCCTACGTGACGATAATATGTCTTACGTATGGCAGTATTATACAGGACTGTATATATGACAGATCCTTCAACTTTTAAATATTAACGATACACAAAATATAAGTGTATGAAATACGTATAACGTTTTATTCAGAAATATTATTATTATTATGAATCCTGGCTGCAAACGTAACACTGAACACATAGTCAACAATTGTGATACTGACACCTCAAAGCCGAATTATTTTTTTATGAAATTATTATTATCATAAATTTTGCTTTGATTAAGTGAAATACATGAGAGTACATCCAGGGATTATCATCCCTTTTGCGTCAAAAGCGTGAGGGAACGAGGGAGGTGGATAGTGCATGAACAAACAGCTCGTAACGATCTCGGAGGAAGTGTTGAACACGCCATATTGAAAATATTTACTTCAGGTTTCATTTCAGGGTAGGCGTTCACGAAGTGCATCCGATCCGCAGTGTGAGTTATGTGAACTTTATGTTTGTGTTTTAAGATTTTGTTTCATTGAAGAAGTGTTGTATTTTATTCAAGTGGTTCACTTTCTGAGGTCAAATGCGGTTTGAATGACTGGTAGAATCATTTTCAGTTTTCTATAATTTTGCAGCCCAGACACAAGTTGAGTGCATAGTCTCGTTAGCATACGAACGAGAATCTGTTTATTATATTGTACTTTGTAGTGAAATGGACTGGCGAACAGATGTAAAATATTCTAAAACGATTGAAAACCCTTTTTATTAAAGGAAATATAATGCTTCATTAACAGAGAGGATGAACTATTAATTACTATTCCTACCTTATTAACGAAATAATATTTCGTGTTAGTTATAATGCCAGTTTGGGTAAGATAATGTTTGCAAATTGTGTTGAAGTATTTTCGGGCGAGAAGTAGAGAGACCAACTTTTGTGTGGAAAATGGCGTTTTGTTAATGAGGATGAAAATTATGAGAGAATAACTGTATTGTACTGATACTGCAAAAAGTAACATACGCAAATAATTAAAAAAGCTATATGTAAACGAGAGAATAAAATTTGTAAAATATATAAGTGGGAATAGGGAATGGAAGGCTAGGTGTGTCAGGATAATAACGCCGATACAGATAGTTTTATTAAGCTGTGGTAAACAAATCTCGTTGTTAGGCATGCAGTCTTCTGTATAGAGAAATTATCTTAGGGAATGAATGTGATAGGTTTCGACCTCTTATTTCTTCACTACTCACTCCTTTGCTGCAACAAACAGCTCATTTTTAACTAGGTTTTAATTTGTCTCCCCCATGCCTTATTCAAGTATTTTGTGTCCACTTCATACACATCATAAATGAAGTGTTTAGATATGATAACTGGAACTGAAAATTTCTCGACGATTTTTTACAAGCGTCGGCTCACTGTGGACTAATTTTTTAAACTTTTTCTGTCTTTTGTTTTATGTGTGTTTATTCACTGCAGGCATCGTTGAACAAAAGTAATTTCATTTTCACTCCATGGCCGCCTCGACGTAAAAAAAATAATTAAAACGACATTTGTTGCGTAACAGGTCAGTAATAACATTTCGACCATCTAATATTCCTTGAACTGATGAACTATATATACGTCATCTCCCAATTGCAACCGTCTTCCGGAACAAGCTTCTTTACGGTACTATATTTTCTGTTGACTAACCTTCACATACCAACAAATTAATGGATATGTTACGTTACTATTAACGCGTTGAATTGTGTATCCGATGTTCTTCGTTCGATCCTTGGTAAATATTTTCTGACCTTTTGTGGTTTATCTCAGTCATTCGTGGGATTTACGGAATAATGCCTCGAGAGCGAATATGTTTTCCCCCCAATCTTTCTCAAGTTGCCAGTGAATCATGTTCTCATCAATTAACCTCTGCGGTTGATATACGTGTTTGTATGCAGTGGTGTGTCTAGCTCTGTATTCAGACAGAGACTGTGCTTCATGGCATGCGTAATTCTTAGCACAAGACATTTTGCTTATGGTACAATGGTAAAACAGAACACTGAGGCAGGCTGTAGGCACGTGCAAGTAGCTCAGCTCTTTGTAACTAGAAACAATCGTGAAAAAATTAAAACAGACACATGACATTTGTTCTATCCTTGATGTCCTTCTCCAAAACTGTCGTCCAACGTCCCTCCCTCCTCCATGCGTTCCTCGGTCTTCTGTGATGTGGGCACGGTTATTTCTATTGGGTAAATTACCGACTTCTCCACAGGATGCAGCGTGGGCTCCACAACGGATTCCTTGACAGGGTATGGTAAGTTCTCCTCAACTGGATACGGTGCCTCTTTCTCTACAGACGCTGAGTATGGCTTCTCTGCTGCAGCAGGGATTGGTTTGTCCACAGCGACTTCCACGGGGTAGAACACATTCTTCTCGCCCGGGTAGGAGGAGACTTTGTTCTCCACTGGGTAAGGGATCTCCTGCTCCGCTTTGACTGGATATGGCTTTTCTATGGGCACGGGATACGGTCTGTCCACGTGCACCTACAATGCAGACGATGTTTTATTACAACAAGAAAGGGAAATACTACGTTTGCTTATTCGATCATAACGTTTCTTAAGATTTTATGCGCTTTGTGTAGTATTCTGACGGTTATAATGGGAAGCACAATAGAAGCGGACCATAGTAACACGCGAAGTACTTTTTGAAAATTAGGCATGTGCATAAAATTAAAATCTCATTAAGATGTACAAATTTTACTTTAAATTTCTTTCGATCTGTTGTATGTCTGAAGAAATGCATTAGGGCTAAACCTGCTTGTAACGAAATATCAAGGTATCTAAACATTTTTCGTTTTAGACAAGTTTACTTTTAACACAGCTACTTCTAGATTAAAGATAATGCATAGTGCATACTTTACTTAATTATAATTTACATCAGAGGCACCCTAAATACAAGTGTGTTGGTCTGTATTATACCTTTATATATTTTCAGTTTCCTTATCTTTATCATTTTCATTCTTTAAAATATTTTTCCATTGTCTGTTAAAGTTTTCAGTAGCTAATCTGTTGACAGTTTAACTTAATTCTTCTTTCTCAGATTATCGACGAGAAATAGTTTCCATTTTTCAGAGATAATTTTACATGAACTTTCACTTTGGGCCTAAAGAAAATTTTTATGAAGACAGAATGTTCTTTAATCCAGGTATGTTTTTAGACGAGTTATAGGCTAAATTTTGAAGGCAAAATCTTTGAGTCTATGCAGCGGAGTATCTTTGCAGTTTATGATTTGTCGACGAGATTTGTATCTACGATAAATAAACATCAAGAATGGAATATCTTAATTTATGAAAAATAACAACAATCTGAGTTCTCCGCTTAAAACAAAGTTGTGTGGTTCACAGATCTTGTAGGATATTTTTCTGTTGGCGCTACTTTCCTGTTTTCCCTCTCCTTGTAACAGTAATTATCCCCCTGCTCAGCTTCTGAGTGTGCCCTACTTGTTTGTTCTCTTTCACTTCTCACCTTGACAGGATATGGAACCTTCTTCTCGACAGGATAGTGGACTTCCTTTTGAAAGATAACAGGGTAAGGCTTCTCCACCGGCACAGGAATTGGCCTTTCAACAGGAACCTTGACAGGAACAGGCACATGCCTGTCCACAGGTACCGGTACTTTGACCTCCACGGGATACGGCTGAGAAACGGGCACTTCAACGCGTACGGGATACGGTGCAGGAACCTTTTTCTCGACAAGTACCGCGTATGGCTTCGGTACGTGGACTGCGTACGGCTGTGGTACAGGTACTTTCACGTGAACGGGAAACGGAACTCTCTTTTCCACAGGCACGTGAACAAAGTAAGGTCTCGTTACGGGCACTTTGACGGGGAAAGGTATGGGCTTGTAGACTGTGTACGGAACGGGTTCGTGTACTATGGTAGGGACAGGACGGGACACGTGTTGTCTCGTAGGATATGACACTGTTTTCACAACAGGATATGAAGCATGTTTTCCTTCTGGAATGTAAACCGGGAAATTCTGTGGAACGGGATATTTATCAGTTAGCGTGTGTGCCTGAACACCATAATGCCCGCTCAAAAAACTATGTTCGAAGATTTTGGAGGCGTATTGTAAGTTGTGTCCGTTGTGATCTTCGTGGTAGTTGGACAAGTAGTTTAACCCTCTCTGACTCTCTGCCGGATGTTCTTCATCGTGTTCCGGTTCTGTTACACGATATCCCTCAGACAGATGACCCAGATGTTGGGTTTGCTGACGATTCTCCAGTCTATTATTTTGAGCTTCTTGTTGATCTGATTGTTCTTCCAGAGAACCTGATTTCTTCACTTGTTGTATGCCCTCACCAGTTTCATTCTTATGTTTATTCCCTTTGGTCTCTTCCCCTTCTTCTTCCTTACGCCATTCTTTAACGTAATGGTGCAGTTCTGATACTTCAACTTCACCCTCCTTTGGATTTATGTCGGCGTTGAAGTGTTTCTCTTTATCAGCGGGTTGTGTTTTCGTATTTTCCTCTCCTTGGCTCTGTAGTCCCTTATCTTTATTTTCTAGTACAGACTGTTCGTTGTGTTTACATTCTTCCTCATATTTTGATACGTTTTTCCTATGCTGGCATATTTCTTCCTCGTACTCCGTCTGCTTCTCTCTTTCCTGTTGTTCCCCCTTTATTTCTAGTTTCTCATCTTTCGTGCTGCTCTCATCCTCAAACGTTGTGTCCTCTTTCATCGTTTGACTGTTTAATTTTTTCTCAGTATGTGTTCCCTCTTCAGCCATAATGATCACAGCTAGTGCCATAGCAAACACTCCTAGCTGCAACAGAAAGCCGTCGTTCATTAAAAACAATTTGCAAATGGTATTTGTGTCATGCTAACCCAGCAAGTTCTTTCAATAGCCGAATGAGTTTGCTACACAATCCATCAACTATGAAAGCGAGTGAAACATACTTCAATTTTCTTAGTTTGTTTTACTGAATTTTATCAGGTGTGTACGTTATTCAGCTTCGAAAAAAAAATATTATTTTGTGAAATCAGACTAAGTCCGTGCTGGCGGTTCCAGGATTAGATTCGAATGAAATGCCTATCAAATACTAACAAGGTGTTCTGGCTACGAAACCCCTTTCTTCCGTGCGTGTGAAACAATTTGACGTCTCGTGTTCCAAAAATGTATCCGATGTGTATTACAAACCGTGAGAGCAGGAGCAGATAGACTCGAGTTGAACATCAGATACATTGCCCAGTCTTTTCTGCATGCAAATTTCTGTAAGTTTCGACATTGCGTTCAGCTTCGAGCACACGCCTGCAGATTGCGACATATGAGCACAACACACGTTTAACTTCAACGCACGCAAGGTCAAGTGTTATCTTACAGTGAAACAGCTCGTCCATAAATGTTAATCACGTACCCACACGATGTGTACCTGTTATCAAGAACGAGGGTTCGGAAATGCAATCATGGCGGCTAAAAATATTTTATAAGGTGTACAGGAAATGCTTAGAGGTGTCGCGGAAATTTCGTTATCAAAACTTTGTTTAAATGTAGTTTTTACTGCTGGTTATGAATTTTGCACACATTGAAACTCATTAGTTAGTCAAACTTGTTAATTCATATACAGTAATTACAGTATTCTTGTTCTGGCTTGAAATACCTTCCAAACATGAACGTTGTGAATGGTATCATCGCGGAGTCTCAGTCAAACAGCAATAGTCGAAAGATTTTTTCCAGCACTTAAACGCAGACGTATTGGCCTGTTTTAATTGCATTCTTTGATAGTCTGTATTTGTCTTCGTATTTGTTTTTTGCATCTACAATTTTGTTGTTGCATTGCTAATCGCACAATGTGGAAATTGTGTTGTTAAATACGCCATATCGAAAATACTTTAGCTAAAACACAAAGCTTAATGGTGTCAATATTTTACGTTTCGTTTGCCTTATCGTTTTGGGCTTTAATTTTCCTTGAGGAAATTTATTGAGTTTTATTTGAGTATCATATTGGATTGATACATTGAAACGTTTAATTAAGATTTGAGGTTTTCGCGGAGGTTAAGTGTTGATTGTGATGTTCTGCGCTGTGATGCCAGGTACCTTGAAGATGGAGGCGATGTGTTCCTCAGAGACGTTGGTAACCATTTACAAGAATACACGATGCCAGAATCCAAAATACCACAATCCAAAAAAATTAATTTTTGGACTAGACCTCCAATTGAACTTACTAAACACAACGCGTTCAGTAATTTTGGCTATAAAACATATGATCATGATTTTCTCATGTTCCGTCTACTTTATACGCTCCTTGTCAAGAACATGGAAACTTGGTGAAAACATGCAGACCTAACATTTTCCGTACTGATCCGAATTTGTAGTCCTACAAGACACCGGCGGTCTAATATAGCAAAGCCACAGGATTCCGCTTAAGATGACCGGCACACATTTTACAAAGACGTACGAAAGAACACTTACTCTGAGCATCATGGCGGTCGCTTGCGCGGAAATATGAAACTGACTTCCTGTGGAGACAATGTGACCCTTTATATACAAAAACTACCTTTTATTTTAAACTTTCGCCACGTAGTTATGGATACCAGACACAGCATGCAACATCTATATCCCGATATGACCAGCGAACTGTGATGTCATTCTTTGCACCTTATCTTTGTATCGAAAACTTTTGAAAGAATGTGACAATAATAATTACTTAACCATGCATAAAAATAAACTTTCATAAAAGAAATGCGAATGTATGCTTGCTTCCTGTATTTGTCTCACTTTCCTTTCTTCTTTCTTTCTTTCTTCATTCCTTTCATTGTTTTTCTATTTCTTCCCTTGCGTTTTTATTTCCTTCTTTCATAATTTATTTATTATTCCAATGAAATAGTGTAATCTGACGACATTTAAAATTTATGACAGACTGAAAATCATTTCACAGTACGTACTAATAATTAAGAATTCATATGTTAGATTAATTGCTACGTTATGAAATAATAGTGCGTCATGGAAAACATCCAGTTAGCTTCGGCCGCATTTGCATTCCATGTGGTGATAGGACGTTGTTGGATTACGTAAATATTCTATGACGCAGTCAGTAAATGCAATATTCTATTTCCAGTTTTAAAAACTGAAACAAATAATATTTACTTACTTAATTATATAGGCCTATAGACCTCTACCTCCTCCTGTCAGTCACATTGACAAAAGATCGACATTAATCATCGAACTAATTTAATAAATTTTATAATCAAAGGATGAAGCCGTAAATTCACGAAAACTTGCTACATCTATAAAAACAAGCCCGAAGCTTTGACGTCACTAGTCCAAACGCCCTCGATTAGACGTGATACTGAACTAGATCATCCATTTCAACCACTCTCTCCCATTGTTTACTTAAATTCCGTTTTAATATTATCCTCCCATCTGCGCCTGTCTCCCAAATGGTGTATTTCCTTCAGGCTTCCCTATTGAAATTTTGTATTCATTTCTTGTCTCTTCTATGAATGTGCATACAATTCCCACTTCTTACCCCTTGATTTGATTATTCTACATTACCCTATCATCGCCGCTACATAACCAATGCAATTGATAAAGCATCGTTAAATACAAGGGTAACCACGTGACCGCAGTTATGAGCCTTCCACTATTAAAGCCGGATAATTTGTCATCGGCTGCTCTCACTGTGCTTCGTGGAGTTAATTGGTTAATTATCTGAATAATTTCAGAGGTGAAATATACATATCTTCCCACACTGCTTCCATTTTCAATACTTCGCTCAGCGAACATGTGCAGGTACGCATTAAATTAAGAAACAGCGCGTAAAAAAGTGGCTTTTCGAGTGTCATAGGCGGTTTGTCACGTGATGTTAGTAGGTTATTTCCTGTCTGTTTTAATTTTCAGCCTCGGGATACGTTTGTCTTTGCATGACACAATTTTCGTGTCAATATTAAATTGCCTAATCAAATTTCTTCGGGAACCTTGATAACATTCAACGCCAATGATTTACTTTCTTCGTTACGTCCATGGACTTCCTGCATGACAGTTTCGGTCCACGTGTGATTTCCCACCGATATCCTGCTCGCCACGGATGTGGACAGAAGTGGCCACCCAATAGTCCGGACATACTACTACTATGGCGTAACAGCCCAAAATCGAGCCCTAGCCTCCTCTATCTTCTTCCTCCAATCCTCTCTATCCAACGCTATCCTTCTCCAAGCTGCTGTTCCAAGGAGATTTCTGGAGTCAGTCGTCACTGCATCCAGCCATCTACCTTTAGGTCTTCCCACTGGCCTTCTCCCATACATTGTTCTTTCCAATATTTTTTTGGGTATCCTATGCTCTTCCATCCTGTAGACATAAACCCCTGCGAATTTTTCCTTTGGGGTTACTTTAAGGAAAAACTGTTTCCAAAAAAACCAGCTTCAATCATGCAACTCAGGGCTTTGATTGTTTAAATGTATGGTGAAATTTCGGAGGATATGTGCCATCGAGTAATCACGAACGTAGCCGTTCGTGTTTCGGAAGTTGCACGACAGAACGGTGGTCATATTAAGCATGTAATCCATAAATAATAAATCTCCATGAATTTTTCTTTGTGTTCATAAATATATATGTCCCATTACATGAATATTAAAGCCTTTATTTAAACTTTCAGTCGGGTATCATTTCGTGCGCCACTCTGTATTTTCGAAATTCCCACTATCCTCTTAATACTATGTTGCCTGCATAATTTACCGTCTCACATTCAATCGTTGGGAAGATTCGGACTTTGCAAAAATACAGTGTGAAGGTGTGAAATGGATTCAATTGCTTCAGGATGGCCAAACCCCCTCTATGAACACGGGAGGTGTTATAAATCAGGAAATTCTTTAACATCTGAGCAACTGCAAACTTTTCAAGAAAGGGTGTGTGTTACAGGTTCTGAAACAAGGGTGTCCACAGGGATAAAATGCGTGAGGCCTCACAAGCCACACGCGAGATATAGGCCTGTGGCACATAGTTTGGAATAAAAGCAGTCGTCAATGAAAATTTCACTAAAAAAAACTCACGCTGAAACCGAGGGCGATGTCGGCTGACAACGAATCAGAAACGTTGATTGGTTGGTTGCTATTTATTGTGCCATCTCTGGTTCTCGCCTTGAAGATGGTTGTCTTCTGAGTTTAGGCGCCGTGTTGTCAGGCAGAATTTTACCGACGTTTCAGAGGTGCTTGCTGCTTTCCTGTGGTTTTGAGTGAAGCGCGATTTATTGGTAGTTTCTCCACTAGATGCCAGGACACTCGTACTCACGGGCGCGTCGTAGCGGATCATTCTTCAATTATTTGGAACGTAACGCTATACTGTACAATGATATCAGAAGATGGCGGCTGTAGTTACTGGCGTAGATAACCTATTGTGGCGACAACTCGGGACAAATGCGTGTTGCAGAATGCTTGGAGGATTTGAGATGTTCAAGGCAATGGGTTGTTACGTTCGGGTCTGGGCCACTATAGGAACGGTTCAAATTATAAAAACACGGTTTGTGTAGAAAATCTCTGGCTTTCTCGGGCCATTTTTCTTTCGCAGAAGAAATGTTATTCGTAGCAATACGAAGCATTTCTTATACCCTTTTTGTAGACGCTGTTTTCAGAATTTGCCTGCTATAGCCAAACGACTGACGCTGATTGTATGGCGGCCACGTAATTAGCTTTTGGCCATCGGGAAACGAACATTGTGTGATAATTTGCAAATTATCAGGGATAAATTCCTTCGCTGAAGCTCCAGTGCGTCTCATTTTCGTTCCTTATTACTCCTGTAGGTGTCTCCACCGAGTACTGGTTTTCCTGGGTTTCCTTCTTTTATTCAGGCGAGCGGTAGGATAGGTGTTTAGAATAGGTTTGTTAATTCGTTTAACGACGCTTTCTTGCCGGCTTCGGAGGAATCATTCTTGTGGGGAATGAAATGGAGAAAGCGATCGTAGCCTGTTTTAAAACGGTCTCCCAGCATGGTCCCGGAGGAACTGCGGTAAACCACGGACAGCCTCGTTCAGTTTTATAGAGTGACCGGCTCTAAGCAAATGCTGTGACAACTCTTGTATTCACAACCGTCCCGCGCTCGTCGTTTTATGACGTATGGAGCTGGACACGGGAGCAAAATGTTTTGTTGAATTCAGATAGTTAAATATCGTTTTCCTTCCTGTTACGCATTTCATTACCGACTACCTGTTGTTGAATTTTACTGATTACGAAAGCTTTCCGAAACCTTGGAAGTCGGTTCCCAATAATAAATTGACATACGAGTTTTTCTCGTTCATGAAAGTTATTGTGCAACAGAAAATTATGTTTACTTCAGTTTTCAAAATAGTGAAGACCAGTTGTTTTTTTGCAATTTATAGCCAACAGGCTGTAAAACGTGGTCTGTGAATTTGAAGGAAGTGCGTGTTAGAAGCGCTTGAAAACAAAAACAAGGTGATCAGGACAATACCTAGACAGAGGGCAAATTGCATTTATGACCCTGCATGACGTTAAGCTTCGTAATTTGTGCCGGTCACCCAGTTTCGTGAAGATACAAGTCACGAAGATTAAGACAGTCACAAGAATGCAACCATAATTATTATCTAAATTTTTGTAACAAGTTTTGAATGCTCATGCGAATATGACACTGCACGTTGTGTATTGCCTGGGATATATATGTTTCATATACACGACTTTTCTGTAGTTTTTTTTCTCACGAAATGTCGTGTGAATCAAGTATACTTCAGTAATTTATAATGTCCAATGTAATATTTGAGACACTGGACCCAGGTAAATTGCGCGTTTCTCCACTCAGAACACACGCGCAAATAGCAAATCGTGTTAAAATACTCTGCTCGACAGCCTGAACACGTGTTATGCTTATACAAAACTTCTGGCATTGAAACAGCACAACTACGCACTTGTTTTGTTGTTTTCCGACTTCATAGAACAAACGTCAATGTAATGAACCTGGTCAACAAATTTTAAAGTTAAATATTTTAGCAGGTAAAATTCATAACTGAATGAAGCAGAGTCCTTCTTGAGAAGCTAGCTAATAATTACTCAGCTGGTTAATAAATTTCTCGCCTTTTAAGGAATCTGAAGATTCATTGTCGTTCTCTCAAGGGCATTAATCGGAAAAGAAATCCATTGATAAGAAAAGTTCCTTTCAAAATTTTCTTTTTATGTGTGCCTATTCAGCGGTTAGAACGCTGGCCTTGTAATCCTGGGGTCCCGGGTTCGATTCCCGGCGGTGCCCGAATTTATAACTTGTGTTGGGCAAGGACGTTGTCCAGGTATCACGGATTTTTCCTCCGGGGCTTACCAGGTTTCTCGTGGCATCCCAACAATTACTTCACATTCATCATCATTTACATTCAGAAGAAGGCAATTGTAAACCACTTCTGAATCATCTGCCAAGTAAACGGACCTGTCGTCAGAGAGAACACTAACAATAATAATAATAGTTCACTAAAGCTGAAATTCAATATTGACATGGACGCGTTTGTGTGTTCTTACGTAACAGAGAGCAAAGCAGTGTTAAGTTTGTCGAAAATGTGCAGTCTACGCAAAATCATATGAATCTGTGGTTACTGAAAAAAATTTCTTTAGTAAAATCTCAAAAGAATACGGTTGGAATCAAACCCATGACCCTGTGAATTGTAGGCCAGTAATGTACGTTGGTCAGATCAAGTGAACAGAATGTTTTCCAAATTCATAATTAGCTATTTTGCATTTACAATTCTGTCTTCTTTATTAAAATCTGCTGTTGCAAAACCACTCGCACTACATTATGCGGGCCACCTCGCTTCTTTTATTTCAGAAATAACTCCTTTCTGTATTTTATTAATATTCACCATGTTGAACAATGTTTAAATAAATGTTTTAGTCCTTAATTATACCCACACTTTGGTACGTTTTGCTAGCGTAAGACGGTTTTGAGAAGTCCCGAGTTCAGTTTGAGCTACATGCAGCGTGATCACAGAGTTACGCAATCCACATTAAAGTATTTATTGATTGTCGAATTTCAGTACAATTCGATTCGAGTACTAAACACACAATATCGCTGTGACTATACAAGAGCCAGTCCGGCAAGATTATTTACTTCCTGTCCAATTGTTTTCCTTCTCTTGTTCTTATTCTCCCTTTAATCATTATTTTTGTTAGCCTTTCAGCATTATTATTTTTTAGACCACGGCCTTGCCCAACACAAGTTATAAATTCGGGCACCGCCGGGAATCGAACCCGAGACCCCAGGATTACAAGGCCAGCTAGCGTTCTAACCGCTAGACCACCGTGGCCATTCTTTCAGCATAAGCAAAGGAAATAAATGTGAAGGAGAGAAGACAAGAAGAAGAGAGCGAAAATAAAGAAAGAAAGAAGTGGTTATATGTGAGACTATAGAACTTGTACCATGCAGTGGTAGTTTATTATGAGCAGAAGGAAAAACATAATTAGGCTTTAATGAAGTGTTTACGTCGACCGATATTTCCAGTTTGTTTCATTGGTTCATACAATTTCATGAAGTTACGTAACGTCAAATGGTAATGGAAAACGATCACTAAATGTAAGCACAAAATTCAACATGTCGTAACATATTCTGGCATAGCCTGAAGAAACTGGGGAAATCCACGTTAAATCTAAATCAGGATTACACGGACGATATTCTTCATAAGCCCAGGGCGTTGGCACAGGATTGTTGGTTTCGTAAAATCCATGTGGGCCATGGAAACGGTCAGCCTGAGACAGCTTTTCTTCTACGCTGTCAGCATGAAGCGATCCTGGCGGAAGGCCGTGAACCCCGACGTCAGTAACAGTAACAATGGCTAATTACTTTTTCTCGTACTTACTTCAGCGTTGTGTGTTGCAAAGATGCCCCTGCGCCAAACCTCCATTTTCAACAATGCTAATAGGGACGTGGAGGTAACTCTGCACGCTCCGGCCGCAGGACGGTAGATGAGCCCCAGGACCAATCTGGCTGCTGTACCCGGGATGGAAACCCACAGACGTCGCTCCACTAACTGAGTTAACATGGTTCGTTGTGTGTTGCTATAGAAACACGCGTACGGCTTTCAGTAACTTAATGCAATAGGATGTGCCCCACCTGGAACCGATTGTTCAACGCAAGTGGTTAGTGTTTAATACCAGACTACACGGCGCAACAACCCAGAAGACAGCCATCTTCGGGTGCAGTTGTAGTTATTCGGGAGCGGCCAATAACTGTAAAACCGTGAATGATTGTGTCCGTTCTAGCTGTTAAAGTGTATCGTTCTACTTGAAACTGTCGTGACACCACCGTTCTTATTTATTGTGTCCACTCACCGCCTATGTTAATTTCTCACTGAAGATCTACAGCAATCTCTAACCCAGTATCTCTGGGAAGAAAAAGTTGTTAGTGGAACCACGGTTCCGGAGAATTTGACGTAAATACGTCTATACGGAAAGGAAGTTTATATATTGGCTTTATTCTAAATATTTCCTTTATACATGCTTTACAATTGAGATAAGTTTGATTAAGAC